AAATACGTATTTATAGTTTCTGTATCTTGTAATTAATGCAGAAGATTTTTGCTTTGTATAAGAATCCGCGGTCTAATCATGATATGTGTTAAATGAAACCAATTTATTAAATAAATTCCCCACAAATGTATTTCTATGATTTCAATAATCGTAAATTAAAAAATTTGGATCACACCCTTTTGACCCATTTTGTATTAACTCTTTCCACTCGAGTGGTGATTCTGAGACAATACTAGAAAATTTATATTCTATTATTGATTTATGATATACTATTGCATTTTTTTTATCAATGTAGGAGGAGGTAGGTAATGTTCAGTTGAATAATAATAATAATCTAAAAATCAACGACAACGCTTAAAATAAATAAAACTTTTACCACTACGTTCTTGGTGAGTTTTCCACTAACAGTGGTAATTAGAATCGCAAAACAATTAAACCTGCCAACATGTTTACTACTATCTTGTTAGCGAATTTTAACAACAGGATCGTAAAAATTGCTATCGTATCTCCACGTTTAATGCTCGCTAATTTGTACAATTGGTTCGCCTAAGTGGTAATTGAAAACGGAGTTGAGAAAAGATAAAAAATAGTATACAAGGTGCTCAATATTATAGTACTTCATTAGTTAATATTATAGTTCGTCAATTGAAGTAACTATTTCTTTAGCGAAAATGCAATCCGCAGCTTTGTTTACGAGTTATTAACGAAAAATAGTGACCAATGAGAGTCGAGGACATCTAGCGCTAGGCGACCGAGCCAATCAGTGGAACTGAGCTTCGTCCATTCGTTGGTCAGGCCGTTTTGTGCCAGACAAGCTCGCTTCTCATTGGTCCCTGTTTTTCGTTAGTAACTCGTAAACGAAGCCGCGGATTGCATTTGGGCTAAGGAAAAATTTACTTCAAATTATCTCAGGAACCCTTTATTTCCCGGAAGTATCATAATTTTAGGACACCCTGTATACATATAATAGTGCATTAAGATTTTTTTTTAATTATCATTTAAGGAAATGTTATTAAGCAACATACAAAGACGATAAAAGCTTTCTCAACAGGTTTCTGGTTGGTAAAATGTTAAAAAATGTGACGGACTTGTAAAATTTAATTATCTTCTAATGACAAATTTTTGATTAAATCGCGTAACCTCAGCAAGGATTTTAGCTTTATAATTATTTTTACTTCAATTCAGTATTAAGATTAAATCTTAAGCGTCGTCATCTCAGTATTCAGATTAAATTTTGAGTCGTTATCTCAGTATTAAGATTAAAATTTCTACGAAACCTATAAAAGTAATTACTATTTATATATGTGCAAAAGTTCAATAACAACTCAACAATTTCATTTTGATAGAAACACACACGCATACATACACGAAACGATTTATTGCATGACTTAAAAATTTTATAAGTTGCTTTATTACGTCTCATCTATAACCATTAAATTTTATATTAAAGGAACTGTCGTAAGTTACTTGAACGACATGTTTAACCATTAGCTCGTTAAAACGTTATATGATCATCTGCCAGTAAAACTGAACGATTACAAGAACAAGTTCAATCGGAAATATATAATTTCATATTTTTAAAAGATTTCCTAAAATTAAAAATAATCGAGGCAGCAAAAAGAATTACTCGATTAATACTGAACTGAAAATATAGAAAAATCGAAAATCGTTAAATGTTCGCCAAATTTTCACTATGCGTACGAACATTGTACATAAATTTATAAATTGCGTACTGCAATATAAATTATTTAATAAATAGATGAATTGTGCATTTTAATGATAATAAGTGTGCATTTTTACCGACGATAAATAATCGAAGCTTGCTATTGAAATTTTATACTCAACAATACAAAGTAATATTAGCTGGATATTAAATATAAATAATATTAACTAGATTAGAGAACAACGAATGAATGAAACGCATCCTAGGATTTCATCTGATACAAGTGTATTTTATTTCAAGACGATTCGACATACGATAGATTGTCACGTTTATGTTACTCGTTAGAGACATGAAAGATATAAACATTGCTGAAGAATGTGCATAACGTGACATAACTTAGGAACTTTCTACGATGCGAATATTCACGGAAGATCCAGCAAATAATGATTTCGTAACAGATAACGGATGAAACGATATCAGGATCGTGACTTGATTGGCTTAATTTAATACATTTCAAGCGGGAAACGCCTAAACGCGTTTCATGCTTATTATTATCAAAGCGTGGAAGCGGATAAGATTCATTTTCTACGAATTAGGGGGAGTAATTATTACGCATCATCTATTGCTATTTTTATAAATTTTTTATGATTAAAAAATTATTGAATATTTCTTGCCAGATACCTAACTACCGCTGTATGGTGAGAATTTGGCGAGAAAACACCGGCTTAAGATGTGTTAAGATACCTCTAAGCCAGAACTGTTCAACAGCTTGACCGTACGGGCAAGCCCAGGGGAAATACCGATTGGCGGGCTCTAGGCCCCATTCCCGAAGGCAACGGTACCTCTTCCTAAGCTCCTAGTGGGATTTCACACCAGCAACGATGCGTTATTTGGTTGAAGACGACGACAGAGATATAGGTTACGTCGAGATAGAGTGAAATAGAATGAGTATCGGACGATCGGCATATAATGGCAATGCTTGCGTGTGAGAGAGGAAAGATGGCATGAAAACGTAAACTACTTCTCTTTTTCTTTTCTCATGTCCCCACTAGCTCTCCGTGAGGTCTGTTGAACAGCTCTGCTCTAACTTGAGAAGGCCTGTAGATTTGTTTCCACCATTATCGAACAAAAACGCATTAGATTCAAGTTACAGAGTTTAATTTGTTTCTTGGGTAATGTTCGAAAAGGAACTTCAAATATTATGTTCCTTTTTAAACATTCCTTAAGTGATTTATGAAACACTGGAATTTCCACCAAATTCATTTTATTATATTTGTTCGTTTTATTAACACTTTACTAACAGATTAATTAATGGTTTTCTCTGAAATTAATAATTAGGCGTTAAGAATCAGTTAATAAAATTTTTCGGTCATAATAGCAATATAAACGTAGAGCAACAAGTTATTTAAAATGAGATGATTTATTTTTTTTGCGATCATTATTAAATTATTGTTAAAAGGATGAAAATCTATTTCAATATACTCCTCGTTGGTTCTGCTAGATAAAGTGTTAAAATAATCAATCTTTACACTGATTAGTCTTTACACAGTTGTTTAGGTTATATTTTCCAAATTTCATGTCCAGTTGGTACGATTAAAAATTAAACTGTGCATTATTGATAATACATGTTCCAACACTAATATCATTAGTTGTGTTGTCGTGTTGTTTCCGAACTATGTACGAATCATGTTCGTAGAGATTACTGTATGGCAGAGTAAGGCAAAAAGTAATCTGATTAACGATTAACGAGTATAACTCGTTAGTTATTATAACTATTCTATAATAATCTACAATAAATAACAAGTTGTAATCGAGTTGCTGTAATCGAATGCTGTTTGACCAATCATTACAAATTTGTTATGACAACTTTTTGTCCAACTTCGCTGTATGGAATTGGTTTTACGAAAGATTATTTATGTATACCTTTGTAGTACTGAAAAGAGTGATTTTGTTATAAATATCAATGTAAGTGTAAGAATTTCTTTTTATATGTGCAGTATCGTCTCAGTTTGAATATATTCGAATGAAGGACAATGCGAATATTTCACGATGGCAGCGAAATTATGTTTGACATGTATCTTAACATCAATGTGAACAATTTCTACCAATATATTATGTCCTGCGTTACATTGGTAAGAATATTAAACTAATCACTGCCACCACAAAATATTAGCGTTAGCCGTGGAAGCCTTGATGCAATGAAAACCATTCCCGTGACAAGTGTGTTAGTTCAAAGTTGTCCACCTATAAACCTGATGTAATAAAAGAGAATTGTTATGCAAATTCTGTATCAGTCTTAAATATCAGTTTATACTTCATTACATGTTGAATATCCTATGGAAAAGTCATCACAGATTAGTTTACATTAAATAAACACTGTAATACAGTTCATTATATCCTTAATATGTATTTGAACTGTGAATTATTAATAAAGGAAAATTCGAATTTATATAAAATAAGCGAAATTATACATTTACAATGTTCACTTCGTATTATCAGAATGAAACAATATAATATCACATATTTTTATATGATAGTTTTATATAAAATATGCGAAATTATACATTTGTAATGTCCACTTCGTATTATCAGAATGAAACAATATAATTTCACATAATTTTATATGATAGTTCGAATTTTTACAAGGCTTTGCATTAAGAAAAATATCAAGTACTTTATTAATAAATTTTAAGGAAAAATGAATTGTAGAGTATAAGTAAAGTATTAATTCAAACCCTGCACTCGCTACAATTTCGGACAGATATATATTTATTTGCAAATATATATACATGTTGTCCCAAAAATATTCGAATCAAATGAAATTGCTAATTCCTTAGATCATGTAATGACACTTCTTCCTTAACGAAAATGTCCTCCGTGTTTTTGTCAATAAGTTATTAACGATAAACACGGACCAATCAGAACGAATACGGCTGGCGCCTCGTTGTCGCGGCCAATACCATTTCAAGTATTTCAGAACGCGTCAGCCGTGCTCGTTCACTAATTGATCAGTTTTTCGTTAATAACTCGTTAACAAAGCCGCAGATGACATCTTGGATTAAAAAATGGTATCCTCGAATGTCCTCGGAGAGATGTCCTCATTTGATTCAAACATATTTGAGACACCTTGTATATTTTGTAAATGTTAACGTGCGCAAATAAATGCCGCGCTGTTTCGAGTAAATTTAAAAAAAAAAAACACGAGAAAACCATCGAAGATTGGTTGAAGTGAATTGCACTGCAATAAACGTCAATTTAGATCCATACCGATCAAATTTGTATAGATTTGCATGTGAGAGGTCAATGTTGCGAGGAGTGCAGTGTAAGTATGCATTACCTGAGAGCAGGTGTGTTGAGTCGGGTGTTGCGTGTATGCGGAGTTCGACGCTGCGCATACCCCAGTCCCAGGAACCTTTAACTGTTCCTTGTAGTCGGGTTGATATGGCAGCAACATGCGAATCTTGCCCCAACGATTGAAGAAGAGCGCTATCGCGCCTCCCCAAAAGATCAACATCAACACCACTATACCCACTTCTACGCCACGGACCTGCAATTCACGCAGTCACACGTAATGTTTACTACTGGCACAGTATCGTTCGTTCGGTTCTCGCAAAAACAACAATATTATATTATTACAGTATTCTCTCGATAACTGTCCCTACTTTGGGTCTGCCGAATGACAGTTATCCTAGAGGTATCACAGTTTTTTGGTGTCTCGAATGTAGAGAAAGATAGCGATTTAAAAAAGAAAGAGGAACCAAGGGTCAAGATGCTCCGCAGACATTAACCCTTAAATGCATGATTTTTTGTCTTGAATTTTAAAAAATCGTTTTTTATAGGAATGTAGTCATAGGTTACGTAAAAAATAAATAAAAAAGTCTAGGTAATAATATTGAGTATTTATTTTGAAAAAAAGTTGTACGTAGACTTTTGGCAACAATATGGGTTTATTACTAAAATTATTGTAGACGTAAACAAATGGTCATGTATTTATATTATCTATTAGTGTAGGAATTTTCACATTATTTATAAATGAAACGCAGCAAAGCAATTGCGATTTTTGTTGTGACACGAAGCAACCTTGCATTTGATGCACTCGGTCCGTGAAAATCCTTTGCACAACCCGGAAGTTATCACCCACCACATTCAAATGTCAAAAAACATATAACTTACTCGCCAAAAGTAATGTCAAGTCTTTTATTTCACACATGGTCTATTGTCTATTGTTATCAACGTTCGTAAACGTTCGATATCAAAACTGTTGTCGGGTATCCGCGCAAAAAGTTATTGATTCATTTTTGGGACTCTATGCATTTAAGGGTTAAGCTGTAAGACTCATGTGAAGCGTTCAAACGGGGGATGATATTTGGCAATTTTTTTTGATAACATAAGGCCTTGATGAAATTTATCGCCACTTGGCACATATATTCTTTAACATTTCAAGATACACAATGTTTTTCTCTCGTTATAATTTATCTATTTTTAATGAAATAGTACATGTTATTTCTTATGGACGGTGTGCCTTCTAACATTTTCTTTCTTTGATTTAAAACGAAGAATCAAACGACATTTTCTTCGTAATAGTGTCATGCGTCGTATAAACTAAACTGCTCCTTAAAAAATGCAACATTGTCGGAGATACGCGGTTTTGAACACAAAAAGATAATATTTACCATGAATGTCAAACTTAATTATGCAATAGATATAGTTTAAATAATAGTTTAAATAATTATGAAGAATATTAGTTTATACGACGCATAATACTATTGCGAAGAAATTGTCGTTCGATTTTGCGTTCTAAATTAAAGGAAAAAAATGTTAGATTGATGTACTAGTTCATTAAAAGTCGATAAAATGTAACAAAAAAGAAAACATTTCGTATCTTGATATGTTAAAGAATATATGTGCGAAGTGGCGATAAATTTCACATCAAGGTTTTATGTTATACAATATTGCCAAATATCACCACCGTTTTGAACGCTTCACATGAGTCTCCACCCTTAAGGGACTCGCACGAGCTCAGACTTTTAAATTTAAAAGTCAATATTTCTTATTATTGGTTTTTCATCAATGAAATTTTTACCATCGTATTTGCCTCATTGTGCAGATTAAAATAACACCAAACACAATATAATTGCGATTATAATTAATTGTTTAATAAGTTGGAAGTCCGAAACTTTAATCGCTTGTCAAAGCGATAAATAATTTTGAAGCGATAATTCGTATGAAACCATATGAATTTACAGTGACTTTTTTATTATTTACACAAGAGTTCTTTATTCCGATTTTGATGAAATTTAAATATGTTGTATAGCTTTATATGTGAACGTATATGTTAGAACTGAAACTGTTGTAGAAATATCTGGGGCTGTAAGGCTGTAAGGTAAGACATCGCATATTGTAATTTCAAAAACTTTAAGTTTATATATTAATTGGCATGTAAAATATAAAATTCACGTAATCATCAGAAAAAAATCATGAAAACAATTTCAATAGACTCGACAAAATAGAAAATATTTCTAAATATTTATTTTGCAGTACGATAAATAATATTGGAAAATATTTTCTGTATAGCATGATAAATAATGTAGGTCAATATTTCTTTTATAATATGATCAATAATATTGGTAAATATTTATTTTATAGTATAACTAATATAAAAAAAATCGTGAAGCAAAAAACAATAACCAGTATAATCATGCATTGTAAAGCGTTATGTATGATTTTTCGAATACCAAACAGACAAAACTTCATGGTATGTCAGAGATAAATAAAATTTCTTTTATATCAACTCTTGCTCAGCAATA